ACAAACAAGACACACAAAGACAAAGAAAACGCAAGACTCATGTGGGTGAGTCTGCAACACCTGAGGCTCACTTGTCAGGACGAGAAAAGTTCTCATCTGGTGTGTTTTTAGTTGTGATGGACAGGTTGCTGGCTGAACTCGATCGTCGTTTTAAATCCTATAATGACCTCAACGTCTCCTTTGGTTTCCTGAACAACATATCTACTCTCTCTGCTGAACATCTGTGTGAAAAAGCAGCAGATCCACAGAGGAGGTACCACACTGACCTGGAAAATGAATTTTGTGAAGAAATCATCCAGTTCAAAGACTTCATCTGCCATGATGAGCCATCATCTGCAAGGGAACTTTTAATGTCCATTAGGAAAAGAAAACTACAGACCATCTTCCCAAATGTGGATGTTGCTCTCAGACTTTACCTAACATTACCAGTCACAAATGCAAGAGGGGAGCGCAGTTTCTCCAAACTGAAACTGGTAAAAAATAGACTGCGATCCACAATGGTACATCAGAAATTACATCATCTTACTCTGATGTCAATTGAGAGTGACCTTCTACGTAAAGTCGATTTTACTGATGTGATCAAAGACTTCGCTGTAAAGAAGTCCAGAAGACGCCACTTTTAACTAGTAAGACTCAATTCCATTCCATTTTTTTTAAATGAGATGACAGATAGTATAGTGCATATAGTACATGCATGAAGTCGAAATCTGATTCCCTATTTCTCTCAGCTATGTTGTTGTTGTTTTAAATGATCATACTCTGAATTCTGTCATGCTTGTTTCAGCTGTGATAGTGTAATATTTTTATATTTACTGTTTTCATTGTATTTGTGTGCATAGTTTTGATGTTTTTCAAAGGTAACTAAAACTCGCATACTTTCATACTCAACTCTCTCATTCTCTCTTTAATGCTCACTCGCTCACACACACACACACAGGCGCACTCACACACACACACACACACACACACACACACACACAAACGCTCACACACACACACACACAAACACTTTATCTTGCACTTTGTTCAACATGTATACATTGATTTTGGATTGCTACACTACTTTCATCCAGTAAACAGAAAATAAAAATACCTCAATGACAGTTGTTGTTTCAATTGCTGTGACAATAATTTTTCTATTAGCAAAACAAGACAATCAGCATTGCACGAAAAAATAAATTTACGTTGGCTAAAGAAATTCTTTACTGAGAAAAACTGTTGTTGAGAGAACTGAAATTATTTTTAACAGTGTACTTTAGATGCCAGTAAATGCTCTTTAAAATGCCATTATAATGAGGGGAGAATTGCTTCAATTACTTTTCCATTATATATTATACTCTAAAATTGTTGAGATGTACTCATACATGTATGTGAATCAGCCTATACTGTATATCATCTGGAGATATATACAATCTGTAAAATATTAACAATTACGCACTTATTTTTTATTTAAGGTTCATACACTTATGTTTACAAGTTACTGCAACCTTATAAGGGTTTTGTATGTTTTCCAGTAGTTTACATATAAAGTTTTGTTGTCATTTTTAAATTATTCTGCCAAAGAAAATGAATTTTGTGCATTGCAAAAAATACATGATCACTGTGGTCATATAAATAAATAATTCTATTTAGACAGGGCATAATTGTTTTAGAGATACATAGCTCTATGATACATGTTGTGTGTAGTGTTTGTTGGGGAAAACTGATATCTAATGGACAAAGTTAGGTACTGCACCTAAACAAAATCTGAAAGCTCATTTTTTAAGATATCAGCCCAAATTTGGAGCACAAATTGTGTGGCTTTGACTTTCTAGCATTTTTTTTTTTTTTTAAGTATAACACGTTTTATAAAAATGTTTTTAGTATAAAAGTCATAAACTAAAACCTCTATAACATTTCTGTTTCACTTTAACTTTTTTTTTCAGTTGAACAATGAACTGCCAAGGTTCTTCCTTAAAATGAGGCCAAACTTATTTCTGTGCTCCAAAACTTCCCATTTTTAATGAAAGCTTTTTTTGACACTGACATTTTTGTCCACTAAATACCTCAGAGTAATTATTTTTAATTGGCTCTCAGGGTTAAGGTCATTTGTAGAGTGAGTAGGGGCCCGAAAATGACTCAAGCCCAGGGGCCCCCACCATCCTAAGTCCTGCCCTGCACATAGCGTTGCATCTTTTCATGACTTCCTGTTTTTGGTTTGTTTACTGCACCAGAGTTCATTTGGAAGTGGACAGAGACCAATCTTTTTAGCAGTCTCGGTCCGCTTGTTTGGTGTGCACCAGGGTTCTTATGGCAGCGTTCACACTTACTCAAACGAACCGCGCTAACAGAGCAATCGCACCAGAGTTCGTTTTAATCGAACGAAACATGACAAGTGTGAACACACCCATAGTGACTTGATTCAGGGGGGAAAGAAGAGGCAGTCGGGAGAGGAGGACTTCTAGATGGCTGAGGAGAGAAGTGTCCTATGCTCTGTGTGGGTTTATTGTTTTATTGCATTCTGTTTGTTTGTTGGGAGAACTGTTACATTCAGTCTTATCAGGAAATTCATCGGACTGGCGAGTTTGTGACCTTGAGGTCCACGTAAAACGGCAGACTCGAGATACTCTGTGTGACATAGATTCCTAAGGAATGAGTAAATATAAAGTAAAGGGTTAACTATAATAATCAAGTGTCAGAATAATAATAATTAAAAAGGACCCATCTGATTGTAAGAATTATTTTCCAATCTCTTTAATCGCTGTGGATGTTAAAATACTTTCTAAAATTCTGGCAAACAGGTTACTTCTTTAGTGCATGGGGATCAGGTGGCTATTATACATGATAGAAATAGGGCATATAACATTAGGAGACTTATTAATATTATTTGGTCAATGGCTGACACTGATGTTCCAGTGGCAGCAATCTCACTGGATGCGGAAAAAGCTTTTGACTGTGTGGAGTGGGAGTATTAATTTGAGACATTCAAATCTTTTGGGTTTGGGAATGTATTTTCTAAAATGGATACAATTACTGTATACGTGACCCCAAGCTGCAGTACAGACTAATGGACAGATTTCTTCTTATTTTATGCTGACAAGAGGGACCCATCAAGGATCTCCATTATCTCCCCTGCTGTTTTGCTTGGCTTTAGAACCTCTGGAGCCAGCTATAAGAGCAAGTACAACGTTTGCTGGGGTTTCTGTGGGAGGAACAGTCCATAAATTGATGCTGTATGCAGATGGCATGTTGTTTGTCTCAGAGCCTCAAAAGTCAGTGCCATGTTTGTTGGAGATTATTGATTCATTCTCTAAGCGTTCTGGTTATAAAGTTAACTGGTCTAAGTCTGAAGCTCTTCCTGTGACAGCTTATTGTCCTGTGTCATTTTTCCAGCTGGCTCCCTTTCAGTGGCCCAAACAAGGTATAAGATACCTTGGTATTCTCTTCCCTCATAAGAGTGCATTTAGAACCATTACTACAAAAAATTGCAAACGATGTAGGGAGGTAGTCATCACTAAATTTGTCTCTTTAGGGTAAGGTGAATGTTCTCAAAATGACCTGCCTTCCAAGAATTAATTATCTACTTTAGTCAATCCCAGTAGATATTCCTTTATAATATTGTAAACAGTTTAAGAAGATAACCAAGTAATTTCTTTGGAATAATAAGCGCCCACGGTTGCATTCGAGTGAGTTGCAACAGCCGGTTGACAAAGGAGGATTGGGGCTTCCCAAACTTTTCTTTTATTATTACGCCTTCAGCCTGAGACATTTGGCTCATTGGTCCCTCCCCCCTGAAAGGACCCCACCTTGGTTTAATGTTGAACAAGCCATCCCAGTTCCGCTACAATGCTTCTCCATTAAATTACCTCAAAAAGTGCAGTCTCACCCAATAATATCACATCTCCAAAAAATTTGGAAGAGAATATCAAAAATATTTAAGTTTAACCCCTTCTTGAACACAGCTTCAAGTATTTGGTTGAATCCCAAATTGTGTATTGGAAATTCAACTTTTCTCTGGAAGGAATGGATAGATAGTGTGACGAGTGGGGGCGGGGTCGAGAGCCGTGGGAACAGAGCGAGGCCGGTGGAGTAAATTATGATGAGCGACACCTGCACCACTCATCACAGATAGGTTTTTTTTTTTTTTTCCATTTTAAGCTTATTTTATTTATTTGTGTTTATTGGATTTATGATAGCAATCTATATATAATTGTACCTGACACATTGTTTTGGGGGGTTAGGGGGAGGGGGTGTTACAAAACATTGAATTATCTGTAAATTGAATGTATTTTTTGCCCACTGAAGAAAATAAAAAGTATGAATCACAAAAAAATTAATAATTAGAAATGGACAAACAACCCATTTGCATTTCAATCTAAATTTGAGGTCATAATAAAATGGAGTTAGATTAGAATTCATTTTAAATTAAATAACTTTGCGCACTGAAAAGACCGAACACGCTGGAAACCTTCAGCCACCATTGGACACCTTCGTTGGGCCGATTGGGTGGACCTTACTATTCTTTACTTATTTCATTTTTATCTTTTTTACCATGTCTTTTTTTCTGCATTTCTGTTTTTGTCACCTTATTCAGTTTCCATTTGATATGCGTACTGTCATGTCCATCTTGCTACTGCAGGTACTGAATATCCTTTGTTTTGAATGTTGCAATGAATTCATGCAGTTTTTTTTTTTTTTAATTCGGACTATCACATCAATAAACCTTTAAAGTAAAACTGCACAAGAGAGACCCAGCAGGTCAAAAAGAAAGATAGAAAGACTAAATCTCTCGTTCAAGTAGGGACAGAAGAGTGTATGAGTATACACTGAACATTGTCAAGAAGGGAAAAGAGGGAGAAATTTAATATTATCCATAAAGTTCATTGTATTTCAGTAAAAAATCACTTGAATCCACATTTATGAAGTTATAAAATTGCACTAAATTTAGAATGGTTCTGGATAACAATTTCAAGTGTAAAATGCCCTAAATGCACATTCACAATATGCAGAGTGTCTCTTACCTTTATAGAAAAATGTTTGGTCTCATATAGAATCATTTCTTCAGAGATCATCAGTGTTCTGTTTGGGCTACACAGATCTACAGGCTTCAGAAGACAAAGAGACAGACTCTGAATAAGTTTACAAGGTAAGCCACTTTTGTCTTAATAACTCATGTAACATTTACTGTATACAGGTGCATCTCAATAAATTAGAATGTCGTGGAAAAGTTCATTTATTTCAGTAATTCAACTCAAATTGTCAATTTGAGTTGAATTACTGAAATAAATGAACTTTTCCACGACATTCTAATTTATTGAGATGCACCTGTAATATCACCTCCATGTTTGAAGAAGGTTATAGAAGAAACATAATCACTACTAACATATGTACAGCAAATTGCTGAACTAGCAGTACTGCTCTTTAGAGAGTACTTAATCCACACAGTTACCACATTATTCTCTGAAATAGTACACTGTAACTTGTAATTTCTGAAATAGTGTTTGTATATAATTGCATAGACTACATCGGACAGGTACAGATACTGATTCACTTGCAATGAGAATAAATATGATTAATGTTTTGGTGGTGATGAATCATTGGGTGCCGAGAGCAAGAAATATTTAGAGACAGTTACTTTATAAACTAAAATTGTCAGTGTTCCTATTCATATTCCGATTCATAATTCTTCATATTGTTGGTCCTATGTAGCTCATGGTAATATTAAAGAATTTTAGGTCTAGGAAGAACATTTTAAAACTGTTGCATTATAAACAAGTTTAGTACAGTCTTAATGTCCAATGTAAAATCTGGGTCATGCAGCAAAACAAGCAAACATTTTGTTACAAGTATCTCATTGAGATTACGCCTATACCGCCTCGTCAAACCTCTGACAATTAGAGAAATCTAAATGACACAATAAATGATACACGTAATCCTATTCGGATTTTCAGATCCGAGTCCTATCAAAACCTGAATGAATTAATAATAATTAATTCCCTTACAAATTTAAGTAATCAAGTTATTACATCAGAATAGATTACTACTAAATTTCAGTAGATCTTTTTATTTAATGATTGTGCTTATTTTGAATATATGGAAGATTTACCTGCACAAAGATGGGGAAGATAAGGATCTTGGGTGTCATTTTAACGTAGGTACCATAGTTGGAATGAGGCACGTGTGATCTCACAATTGTGCAGTTCTGGTAGTTGGCAAAGTTTGAGTTCTGTAGGTAGTTTCTGCTGTGCTGTGTTTTGGAATTGCTTTTGCCAGAGCGAGGCAGAAAACATGTTCTGCTTGCCAGTCCAGGGGCTGACTGGGCACTAGCAGCCGGAGGGGGAGGAACAGACGCCTGAGGTGTGGGGAACATCTGGCCACCTGGTAGAAAGTAAAGACTGTAGGTGAGATTTTAGTCAGATAACAGATGGATAAACAGATAGTACAGAAAAGCCTATATGACAACCCTAGACTCAAACAGGTTACTTGATGTAAAATGTACCATTGCTGTCTGCCGATAACATGAGTTCAAAGTGCTCAGTCGTGGTATTGAAGGTGGAAGAGAGTGCTGGTTATTCACTCCCCCACGACAATTCCTGCCGGATCTCAGATTCGAATCCGCAACCTTCAGGTTACAACTCCGACTCTCTAACCATTAGGCCACAACTGCCCCATGGAACTAATGTTTTGGCTAGACAATGGAAGATGAAAGGAGTTTGTTTTTGCAAAACATTTGCAAGCGGGGTGTCCCTAGACCTTTTTACTTGGGCACGAGCCCCTGTGAAATACCTCTGTGCCCCAGAGTAATATCACTGATAAATAAATACAAATCTGTCAGTGAAGATTACCATGTAACGACCTGAGAATCGTTTTCCCTGACAGTATTTCAGCAATAATGCATGTGTTTTCTGTCAGCTGTTTAGATTTGAATAATGCCAGGTTTGTGAATGAATTCTTTTGATCTAATCATTCAAAATTGAGTGAAATTTTTTGTGAATCAGTTTGATTCATGTGGACCGTTTACTTATACACTGAATCGTTCCCAGTGGTTTCTCATTAATAGTAACATGAATACTTTATAAAACAGAAAACAAAAAGAGCGCTGGATGAGGTGAATATTTACCTAGGTGCATTTTAGGAAACTAAATTTGTTTAGTCTGAAATTTATTCTATTGTTTCGTCAGTGATACATCAGATCTTTATTGTGCATGCAGCCTGTTAATGGCTCCACTAAAGGTACAGACAGTTTATATCCATATATCCATAAGAGTATAGAAAAAAAGAGAGCTTGAAAAGTATGGGGATGAATTGACATGGTCCAACCTTGTGAAGCATCCTTATCTGTTGAGTTTGTCTGTTAGGAGTTGCACCCCACTTCGGGCTCAGAGTGTCATTTTCAGCAGCAAGGATAATGTTATGGATGTTTGCAGTCAGATGAAACACTCTTTGAAACTTCTCCCTGAAGGAGCGGGGAAGCTAGATAAAGTGCAAAGTACAAAGTCATCACGACAGTTGCGTCGAGCTCGGACTGGGGAGCCCTGTGCAGCATTGGGCACCTGGACAGGTGCTCACACTCCACAGAAATTGCCTGGAGCTGCTTGCAGTCCTCCTGGCTCTCAAAAGAGCTTTTATGCAGACATACAGCGCTTTCATGTCCTTTTGGGAATGGATCACACGGCAGTGGTGGCATACATAAATCGCCAAGGGGGAATTTGTTTGCACCAGATTCTGATTCACTGCTTTGCTGTCTGTTCAGATTGTGTCCTCTTCTAAAGCATGTTCTCTTTCTGTAGGGGATAAAGGCTTCATCCTTAGAAGGTTCTGAGGATTTGGGACGTATTCAGTAAGCAGAGGTGACCCTGTTTACCTTCCCAAAAACAACACACTTTCTCTGGTAGTCTCTAACTGTGGCTCTGTTAGAAGTAGATACTCTGGCCAACAAATGGTCATTGAGATGCAAGCATGTGCTCCTTCCCATTCACTAGTGCTGTGCATCCACAGCCAGAGAGGTGGAAGCTCCATGTAAGGCCCTTGAGCGAGACTCCCTAGATTGTCATGGGCTGTCCCATGCAGTCTTGGACACTATTTGGACAGTATTCCAGCCTCCTCAATGATTAAACAATTTTGTGCGCTGAAATTGTTTTTACCGTATTGGCCCGAATATAAGACGACCCTGATTATAAGACGACCCCCCTTTTTCCAGATGTACCTTTTGGAAAAAGGCTTTTTAAAAACCAAATCTTGTTTTTTCTCAGTAAAACACATTTTGTCTTTAATTATTTTCATATTGCATATTTTTCCTATTTTAATTTTTGTTTTGAAAGTATGGTAAAAACTGGTAAAATGTACCAACAATCACATTTAAAAATATACACTTTTTGATATACCATAAAAAAAAAAAAAAAACAGGTAGCCCATCTGAATTAGGACATTTAGGCTATCCATCTAATAGTAGCCTACCAAAATCTTATTAACAGTAGAAGTTAAATCTTACTGTAGTCTTCAAATCTGGGTACTGTCTTACGTTTTAAAATCACAAAGGGAGTTTGGTCCCATCAGGCTAACGTGACAGTCACGACTCATGCAGCTGTAAGGTTTTCTTTTTCTTTTGTTTTTACTCGCGATCTTTACAACACGCATTACATTACGTATTTCATGGCACACTCGTTTTATGCGTATTTGGCGCCACCTATTGTTGTGGGTGTATTATTGACATGTCAAAGTCTAGACCCTGAATATAAGACGACCGCATTTTTTCAGATGTATTTCCAAGAAAAAAACATTGTCTTATATTCGGGTCAATACGGTACTTGGTATTCTTCCTCAGGTGAGAACTTGGTGTATTGTCTTTTGCAAATGGTTTTGCGTCTTTTTGCAGGACTATTTCCCTCTATGCTCAAGGACTTGAAAGGCTCAGCCATAACCAAGTATCGGCTCTCACTGGGTGGTTGAGCTCATCACACTTGCCTATGAATCAAGTGATAGGCAATGCCAAGTGGATGTGAAAACTCATTCAACCAAGAATATGTCTTCCTCCTGTGCTTGGTAGAAAGGGGTGTTACTGGAAGGCACGGGCTGTTGGCTGGGCATCCGCCTATATGTTGGTCAAGGCCTATAGCAAGGGTGGCGAACTCCGGTCCTGGAGAGACGCAAGCTCCAACCCTAATTAAAACTCACCTGCCTGTAGCTTCCTAGTAACCGTTCAGACCTTGATTAGCTTGTTCAGGTGTGTTTGATTAGGGTTGAAGCAAAAATCTACAGGGCTGCGGCTCTCCAGGACCGACGTTCGCCACCCCTGGTCTATAGCATGGACCTGTCCTCCCTCTCTTCCCAAGTTTTCCTTTTAATAAAGTTGTTCATGCGGTACGGTAGACTGAGTACAGATACACTTGTGGTCAAAATTTTACATACACTTTGCAGTATCTGCAAAATGTTAATTATTTTACCAAAATAAGAAGGATCATACAAAATGCATGTTATTTTTTATTTTTTTTTTAAAGATGCTGTAAAACCAAAGAATTTGTGAAACCTGAAGGATTTTTCTGAAGAACAGCGGGCAGTATAACTGTTCAGGTCAAACAAGGGACTCATGAACAACTATCACAAAACAAAACAGCTGTGGATCATCCAAGTAACTACACAGTATTAAGAATCAAGCGTATGTAAACTTTTGAATGGGGTAATGTCTTATAAATTCAACTATTATTTTCTCTTGTGGACTATATGTAAATATCTTTGAAATGTGAAATTTCTTATTCAAGTCAGTACTAAATAAAAAATAACATGCATTTTGTATGAGCCCTCTTTTTTTTGGTAAAATAATTAACATTTTGCAGATACTGCAAAGTGTATGTAAAATTTTGACCACAACTGTATATGTTTTGTTATTGCAAATGTAAAATGTGCCTGTCAGTTGCATGTATTTTAATGCAATTATACTGTACATAATTTATTCAAACATTCAAATATTTAAAATATCAATTTTACTGTTACCACTGTCATGTGATAGTGTTATAACTGTTTATGGCAAGTTGTAATAAAAGCTCTCCTTTTAGTGTTGTAGACCGATCTGAATTAAGAGTCTAACGTAAGGGCACAATGGTGATGACTTGCAGAGTTATTTTGTGGGGCCCAAACTAGTAACTTTCCAATACACAGTGAATAGAACATGCACTAGGAAGCCATTAGGAAACTTACTTAATGTTCTGTGGTTGTCTCCATAGACAGAGCCCGATACCTGAAAATTTAGAAGAGTCAATAAGTGAAGACACTTTTAAACATTTTTAATGAAATTACATTTAATGATGCTTACAATATAAGGTCTTTTTCACACCGTACCCATAAAAAGCATATAAAGGAAACTGTTGTGCTTTTACACTGGTGGCATTTTCATTCATAGTGATTAATTATAAAATGGTTGAAGGGTGTTCATAATTTAAATTAATTACAACCTGATTGTTATGAAGTGTAATTTAGATGAGGAGGTGGACCACATTTACATCCAAATGGTAAACAATCTACACAGAATGGAACCCAAAACTGTAGCCATAAACTGTTAAATAATCTGACCTATATAAATATATAGACCTGGCTAAGCAGACAATGCGATTGGTGTAAACTGTTAATATGGCTTGTAAACTGTTTACGTGTACAGTGTATAAAAGGCCTTATGGTCACTTCTGTAGACTTTATGGAAATATACATCTTTGAATGGAATATGTATTATGTTGTGTTATGAATGGATTTAATAAAGTTTTCCTGTATGGCTTTTCAACGAGTTACTAATACATGGTTGGTTACAAAAAAAAAAAATGTTTCAATGGGTCTCATTCTGTAACCGTACCAACTTGTGTATAAAATCTGAGTTTGAGTCACCAAAAAATTCACACTAAAATTGATTTCAAATTTAAGATCAGATTTAGAACCTACTTATTTGTGAAAAATAAAAAATAAAATAATCCAAGGTAGCAGACAGGGCATGATAAATTATACAAATAACCTTGCATTTCATTAAACATAAAAATGTCAAAATTAAAAAAAAAAATGCCTGTAATTGTCAAGTAATCCTGATTACTTCGATTTTTCAGGTGTATTTGATTAGGAATGGAGCTAAACTTGCCCATCCCTGCCTATGTAGAAGATAGCTGCCTATGTAGACAGTAGAAAGCAAGGCAGCATACTTGGTTTTGAAACAGCTTTGCACTTTTTTCCACATAGCATGATTTACACATGGTAATACACGTGGGATCTCTGATCACATTTTGATATCATACTGAGATATTAAGCAGCCATGAGATCCCTTACTGATTACTGACAATTCTTTGATCTACCTGGCTTCCAGGGTTTATAGGAGACAGGATGATATAATTGTCCCCGTTTGATGCTTTCACACGCGTCCCTCTAAGCGTCTGAGTGCTAGTCTTGCCGTCTACTGCAGTCCTCCGTTCTCCCCACAGGATTCCCGCTCCACTCCCTCCACCACCCACTCCCTCTGAGCCGTTAACTACAATCCTACGGCTGGTGTGGTGGTGTGCGGGCAGAGGCGGAAGCGGTGGCGTTTTGTCCCTGCTCTTGGCTTTAGCTGGGGAAACTGGAGTGTCATAGTTAGAGGACTTGTAAGATGGATGATGGATCAACCCCTCAAAGTTGGTTTTAACAGAGGGTCCTGTACGCCAAACTACCACTGTGATCTCACTAAGACTATTTCTGGAGAGAGTGAAAGACAAAAGAACAAAAGTAGAAAGAGAAGAAAACATAAAGAGGAGCTGACTCACAATTATTGAGTTTGTTTATGTGCACTGCCTTAGCTTAGAAGATTTCCACATCAAAGAAGGCAGAGTGACAGAACACTCCTAGGTATTATGTAATCGCCGTGGACTAATGGTAATTCAAAAGGTGTTTACCAACCGGAGTGAACATTTCCAGAAAGTTCGATTTGGCAGAGGCAACAAAATATTGTGATGTCATTTTGAACAAAATCAGGCCAAAACGAAGTTCGTTTGGACTTCTGAGTGTTCAAAACAGCTTGCCAAAATGAAATTTCCAGAAAGGTTCGCTCATGCTGTTAAAAACATTTGAACTACCATTGTTCTGTGGCAATTTGGTAGTAAGTAGGAGTGACTCTGTGGCGCCGCCTTCTCTGACATGGAAATATTCAGTCTATCAAGGTCAGACGTCAATGAGCCTGTTTACACCTGGTCACCTCATGCATTTTTTCTGATCGGATAGCTATCCGATCGTGAAAAGACCAGGTGTAAATGCCCTCTGAAATGCATTTGAGATGGATATAAATCCGATCGCTCAAACCACTTCAGGAGTTGGTCTGGGCCGCATTCCAGACGAAAGTGGACAAGTGTAAATGCATCTGGTTGTTGAAACCACATATGTAAATTTTACTCCTCCCTAAATGTTAAAATAATAAATGTGTGAGAGCGTGTTATAGGCTATATGACATTAGTCAGACTGCGCTTATGCAACACGCATTGCTGCGGAAGAGCAGCTGAGTATCTCTTCAGCAAGCTGAAACTGAAAGTAAGATGCAGACGGTCAACACACAATCATCTTCATTAAAAGTAGTAAGACAAACTTATCTTTCCAGTGCTGATGCTGCGCGCTCTCCTATTGCGTTCTTTGATCTTGAAATGAGCTGATAATTAATAAAATGCAGCACTTATCTTTTGATTTCGTGAACTCCAGTGCTGATGCCGCGCGCTCTCCTATTGCGTTCTTTGATCTTGAAATGAGCTGATAATTAATAAAATGCAGCGCTTGTCTTTTGATTTCGTTGACGTGAACCCCGTTAAATTTAAATATAGCGCGGGAATTGAAGATTGGATTTATATCCGTTTTGCGACGACACATTTATGTGGCCAAGTGTAAATGGAAACATTTTAACAAATCAGATAGATATCTGATCAGCGAAAATGCATGAAATGACCAGGTGTAAACAGGCCCAATGAGTAAAAAAAAACCCACTGGAGAGCTAATTACAGACAGGTGTGTTAGAGCAGCATTGGAACTGAAGTCTGCAGGATGGTAGCTCTCCAGGAGCAGGGTTGGAGATCCCTTCTCTATTGTCTTCCCCTAACACCACCACCACTAGGGCTGCAACAAACGATTATTTTGATAATCGATTAACCTGTTGATTATTAGACCGATTAATCGACTAATCATCGGTTATTTCACTGATTAATCAGTAGACTTTGATTGATTATTCAGCTTATGCAATTAGTTAAAATATTTAGTTATACATATTCTAACAAATAAATACAAGTAATCACTTTAGCTTTTGAAAATCATATTATGTAATTGCTTATGTTTGCATAAAATCCAAAGAAATTCAAATCTGACGTGAACAAGAAAGTAATTGTTCAGACATTTTAACATTGTTTTGAGGAAGGAAAAAAGACTTTCAGTCGGGAACTGAGCCAAAGTGATAGAGAAAAACTGTAATTCACTGTACAAAAACACAAAAATTCTGGTCTGTGCTCTGAATATAAAGAGTGTTGTATGTACCTAATAGCATTTGCAAGATCTGCACACTTCCAGTGTTTGACAGGTTGCCCGTTTAACTGCAACACAGAGTCCAACTGCTGCAAACCGGCCTGATCCCCTGGACCACCTGAGAACATATTCACACACACACACAACATAATGACATAACAGTGAGTGTTAATCAGCTGTGACTCATGTGTCCAGCCAGACACTCAAACACATTCATAAACAATCTATGTGACTGCATCAATTACACAGGTGACATTCTGACACTTTAAATAGTGACTTAACAGTGAGTGTTCATCAGCTGTGGGTCATGTGGCCTAACACACACACACACACTGACCCATATTTGACCATAATGCTTAATGGTCCATGATCCAGAAATACCACACATGCCGAGCCTTCAGTTCAGCATTATCCTCTGGCAAAAATGCAAACACACACACGCATACCGGACACACAGAGCAGTTCTTGCCTGGATCGACTGCTTGTATACGAACAGGCGAGTCAGAGCAGATGGTAAAGCCAAAGCCGTCCTTTCCTCGTAGAATGGTCACCTAAAAGACACACACAAACGCACGCATACAACACACTGCCACCTGCTGGAAAATATAAGACACTGCAGCTCCCCATCAGAAAAGCACCAATAAAATGAATTGCATAGTCTGGTTTGTCAATGAAGGAATTCTACAGACAAATATTTTTACCATTTTTTAATGAGCCAGACATTGTAGATTCTACTGAACAACTGAATGTAGTTTTTTTTTTCCTTAGACAAATGTAGGGCTGCACGATTAATCGCATGCGATATTTAACGCGCATCTTATCAGTAAAGCCGGTTCTGTAATCAGCGGTAAATCTCCATCACCTGCGTGC